GACTCATCTACGAATTCCACTGTGACCACAAAGCAAAAAACAGTCGTGAGATTAAGTCTGCCCCTTGGATGCAGTGTTCTCATTCCATCTGGCAAATCATACATTCCCTACCAATTTCCTCCATACGCTGAATGGAGAGCAGAAACTTAATGTAGCTATGATAGATTAAGAGAAATGTTGCATGAACACATCAGTGCAGATGACCCAATACGATCCAGTGTTGGATCGAAGTATTTTCTTGATCTTTGGTCCAAAACAGATTGGTTAGTCCTGGTTACCAGCTGCTTCCGGGGACAGAAGAAATAATGCTTATATGCTCTATGGCTACAGGTGATCCGAAAACCACATACTTCATACCGGACAAAACACGTTTAATAGCAAATTCTAAGCCCATTCAAAGGGAAGTGCGTTTGTGAGTCACTTCCTGTGTGCAGGCCAGGTGGCGCTCTCATTTCCGGCTCCCCAGAGCCTGTGGAGGTCCGTGACCTCTTTGCTCAGCCCAGGAGGAAGCGCGCTCACAGGGGTTAAGCGCACAGCGCCCAGCAGCGCTGGAAGGGGACGCCCTTCCCCTCCGGGTGACTCCAAGCCCGGGCTTTCCCCGCCGGGCTGCCTCCGGCCTAATGGAAGAGCCTGATTCCCTGCCCTGGGTGCAACCCCATCTGACCTGCTGGAGCTGCTAGAACCCTTGGCAGTTGTCAACAGGGACTTTCCTGATTTAAAACACCCCTTCTCAGGGCAGCCTCTGAGAGGCCACCTACGTGTTTTGCCTGAGGGGCGCCCCTGACGGTCACCATGTCCTCCATTTCTTTTCCTTCATTAACTCCTGAGGAAGGTTAAGATGAGTGAACCAGACACTGAGATAAATTATTACATATATCCGTGCGGGTTCACATCTGAGAATAAACGAAAGGAAAAACAAAAACAAAAACAAACAAACTTGTTTTTTAAAGTCCAAATTACCACTCAGGGCGAGGATGCTTGTACATGAATGAGAACAGGAGAACACGTGCAGATGCTGAACGACCTGACACAGTGGAAAACCTTTGTTGTAGGGTCTCGCCCATCGGCAGGTGCTCAGGAAGGACGTATTTCGGGGGGCATATCGGTCATTTCTTTTTCATACCAGGTTATTACTGCTGCCCACAGGCTCGCTGACGATCCCCACCATTACCATTATTTCAAGAGCAAGTCAACGGCCAGTTTTCACCCGAGTTCTTCAGGTTTGAATAAAAATTAATTCTGTATTACATAGCACGTATCAAGTTTTCCTGAGGTTGATTCGTGCCAGCCATGTTTATCTCATGTTTATCTCAACTAGCAGCTCTTGCACGCCTTTCCTTCTGCTCTCTGTCTGAACGACTCCTGGCTGCAGAGCCAGGTCGTGCAGGTTTCCCCAGTAGCGGGCTGGGCGGGTTTGGAACAGTCGCTTCCACCCGCCAAGAAATGGAAGATCCTTGGCCCACCCGCCAAGGATCTTCTTCTGCCCACAATACATTTAGAATCACGTCTTTCTATTCATATTAAGATGCTCAGCTGTAGTCAAACTGTTCAGTTTCTACTAAAAAGCAGTTCAGATTTTTGTGTATGTATGTATGTATCCCTAGAACTTAAGGTGGGTTTTTTTTGAAGTACAATTAATATAAAACAAATTATTGGTGTGTGTATAATGATTTGATATTTGTATATATTGTGAAATGATCACCACAAGCCTAGTTCACATCACCATCCCCATCGTTACAAAAGTTTTTTTCTTTCATGGGAACTTTTAGGATTCTCTTAGCAACTTTCAGATATGCACTGCAGTGCTATTAACTGTAGTCACCATACTGTACATTGCATCCCCAGGACTTATTTTTTTAAAGATTTTATTTATTAGAGAGAGAGCATAAGCAGGGGAGGGGCAGAAGGAGAGGGAGCAGCAGACTCCCCACTGAGCAGGAAGCCTGATGCGGGGACTCTATCCCCGGGATCATGACCTGAGCTGAAAGCAGACGCTTAACTGAGCCACCCAGGCGCCCCGCCCCTCCCCCCAGGACTTATTTTGTAACTGGAAGTTTGTACCTTTTGACCCTCTTCACCCATGCTTGCCACCATCCCACCCCACCCGCCTCCCCATCCTCAGGCAACCACCAGTCTGTATCTGTTCTCTGTATCTGTGAGCTCTTCTTGGTTTTGTTTTAGAGCCCATATCTAAGTGAGATCATGCAGCATTTGTCTCTGTTTGACTTATTTCAGTTAGCATAACGCCCTCACAGGTTCTATCCAAGTTGTTGCAAATGTTAGGATTTCATTTTTTCTTAGGGTTGAATAGTATTCCATCGTGTATATTATACCATATTTTCTTTAGGCACTTCTCCATCAATGGGTACTCTGGTTGCTTTCATATCTTGGTTACTGTAAATAGTGCAGCAATGAATATGGGGGTGCATGTATTTTTTTGAATTAGTGTTTTTGTGGTCTTTAGATAAATACCCAGAAATGGAACTGCTGGATCCAGTATGGTAGTTCTTCTTTTAATTTTTTGAGGAACTTCCACACTGTTTTCCACAGTGTCTGCACCAATTTACACTAACAGTGCACGAGGGCGCCACAGCCTTACCAACATGTGATTTCTTGTCCTTTTGATACTAGCCATTTTCACGGGTGTGAGGTGGTATCTTTGAGGTTTGATTTGCATTTCCCTGATGATTAATGATATAGAGCATCTTTTCATGGACCTGTTGGCCATTTGTATGTCTTCTTTGGAAAATGCCTATTCAGATACTCTGTTTTTTTTTTTAATTAAAAAAATTTTTATTTATTTATTTGAGAGAGAGCGCGCATGAGAGAGGGGAGGGTCAGAGGGAGAAGCAGACTCCTCGCAGTGGGAAGCCCAATGTAGGACTCGATCCCGGGACTCCAGGATCATGACCTGAGCTGAAGGCAGTCGCTTAACCAACTGAGCCCCCAGGCGCCCCTCTGCCTGTTTTTTAATTAGAGTGGGTCTTTTTTTTTTTTTTTTTCCTATGGAGTTGTATGAGTTCTTTATATAGTTTGGATATTAACCCTTTATAAAAACTCAGAAGTTAGGTTTCACAGGGCAGCTCTTGACATTCCCTGGGTTTTTATGTATGAAAGATATCCTGTGGCAGAAGTAGTAAATGTAATTTGTAGAACAACTACTATGTCATGTGGAACATTTAAGTTTCTTTTCTGTCAGAACCATGCATTACTCCCTCAGGATTTTTCTCCTTTAAAAGGAAAGCCACACAGACATCTTGTTATTGCTCACAGGCCCTTGATTAGAGGTTTCCATGTTGTCACAGCCTGAGACCAAACTCTGGAGGAAAAAATTATTGTACTTAGGACAGCTGTAGTCATGAAGGAGTTCAAAGGCCCCTCTGAATGGGTCAACAGGTAGTTGCCAGCAACCTTAGCAACAACACAAACTAAAACCAGGAGGAAACCACCCTTTCGTAAGGACCAGCATGCCAGCTCTGACCTCAGAGGAAGGCTGGGCTCCCAGAGAGGCCGACCCATCCTCCTCCGGGCACACGGTTCAGCTCTGAGCTTGCAGGGAACGGAGCCACATCACTCCCAGATCAGAGGCAGAGCCAGAGGCACGTCCCTCTGCACACAGATGCCCCGGGCTGACTTCCCTTGAGCCGTACCCGAGACTCTCACCTGTCCTTGCCCACCCCGCTGCCTGCAGGAAGCCGGGTCTTGGTAAAGTGGGCCAGGAATGAGCACCGAGCTGTGACATCTCAGATATGTGGGAGAAACAGGGTATTCTAGACGGAGCATAGAAAACTAGAAGGGAACCAAGTTGGTGGAAGGAATGACTGGCTCAGAGGACCCAATAATCCATTTCTTCAACATTGTTTACTCATGTTTTATGTCATAAAAATGTAGACGAACCACTGAAGGAGAGGGCTTGAGTGGGCTTCGGTGGCATTCCATCCTCAGCTTCGTGTCCTTGCTCATACTTGGTGAACAGACTATTATTTTTTTAAAGAGACTATTATTAATCCGTTTCCTTCTAAGATCCAGGGGGAGCCAATCACTGTGTGGGTCCAAGTTTTTTTCCCCACCCCCACCCCCCCAAAGTAAAAACTTAACTTCCCCTCCTATGCCATTCTGTTTAGATTTTCTAGTTAACTCCCAGAGCTTGAATGGCAGCATTAGGCCGCTGGGTTCATGTACGTTAACAAAAGTCAGATGATTTTCAAATGAATATGAAACCTTTCTAACAAGTAGGTCTACTGAGCATAATGGAGTTTTCCCTGGTTCAAGTTTAGGACTAAATGATGAGGAATTGGAGAGGTTCCAGAGGATAGTAATGAAAATGATTAAAGGACTGATGATGAAAGGTTCAAGGAGTTGGGATCACTTAGCCTAGAGAAGAGAAATTGGAGGGGCGATTTAATGGCAGTCTTCAAGTACAGTCGGTGGAGGGTTATTACAAGTATGGCAGCCAGCTGTCCCCCAGCTGTACTGGGGACTGGGAAAGGGAAACTGGCTACAATTCAGGAGGGGATTTAAGTCAGACTAGGGCTATCAATGGTTCTCAAACTAGTTCAAGAGCTGGAAACCCATAAAAACTTAAGAGAAAATGATGGAATGTAAACTGAAAATTGGGGAAAACGTTGACTTTTTGGAGATCAGTGAGAGTTAAAACCTACCTTCAGCACAGGGACACTTTGCTTTGGGGAGCCCCTTGTTGAGAGTGGACGAGCTCAGAGGATGGAAAATGGCCTGCACACTTGGCTGACGGCTGGAGCCCATGAGGCTGGTCTGCGGTGTTTGGGGAGAAAGAGAATCGGCCCTATCTGAATCCTGGTGACCGTCTTCTTCCCACTGGCCCCTGTGTATGTCTACACCTTTGAGGACTGCATGTCCTGGAGACCGGGGAAGGCACCCTTCTACCGCAGGTGGCAGCACCCCTCCGATGTGGACAAGCCAGCTCGGGCCACTGCCAGCTCAGGGGTATCGGGAATGTCACTCTTTAAAGAAAGGACACGCTGTTTTAAAATGTTTTATTACAAAGCTTCTTTTAAAAAATGCTCAGCACGTTAACTCAAACTGGAATGACAAACGTTAGATGGCAGTTTGGGGCAAAGGCTGTGCCTTGTTATTTAAAAAAAAAGATGGGTACATCAATGCTCATTTTAACAACTGGCATAAAATCCCACTAATTGGCTAATAAAAACAGATACAAATACAGAACATTTAAAGTAATAACAATTCAAGTGCTGGGCTTTTTACAATAAAGGGGTGAAAAGGAAAGAAATGAAAATTCACTGCAAACCGGCCTGCTGAAAGTATCGGTTAAGGTTTACCATTAAACAAAGGAGATCAGAAGAAAAATAAAATGAAATAGGATGGCCAACTGCTCCCAAGAGGGTGGGTCTGGCTGTCCCATTTATTTAGCTCTATCCAACACCTTACCAAGACAGAGAGGCCACTATTTGTTACAAGTAATTCACAGAGAAGCCACTTGTCTGACAAGATACCGCTCAAAAAAGGGCAGCTTCTTTTCATTTTTTATTTCAAACTTTTCCAGATCTTTGAATTTTACTCAAAAGCTCATAGCTAGCAAAATATACAAGAAAGTTAAAACTAAAAAGTGAAAATTAAAAAAAAATTCAAGTTTAAAAAAAAAGCAAACACAAGATTGATCCTTTTGCACTGTTAAATAAAAGCTTTCGGAGAAAGGAGGAAAAAAAAAAAAATGAAGACCGAAACAAAGTGGGAACTCTTCCACAAAGTCCCCCACCGGGATGCTGATGATGGATGTGCTGCCGGCTCCAGTCGCTCCTGGCAGGCGAATGTAGCCAAGTTACTGTCCTTGCCAAAGGGTTACAGGTATGGACGCAAGACGCTCTGGGAAGTGCACGTGGAGAGGAGGAAGGGCAGCTGCTCGGCCTGCTAGCAATCTCAGGGGCTTTGTATTTCTCATTTAGGAAACCTTTTATGCTTTATTTTGGAACTTGGCTCTTGCAGTAGATGAAAGGGGGTTTGGCAGTGATTGTCTTTATGGATCAGCGTCTCTAGCATTGACCTCAGGGTGAAGGTGGTGTCAATTCTCCATTGGGGTCGACTGGGCAAGCCCTGGAGACAGTCTGGGTTTTCAACAAGCTTCCATCTCCAGAAGAGGTCCCGGGGTCGCTGCCTTGGACTTGCACGTTGGGAATGAGCTTCGTTTTCCACCTCAAGAAGGAACAAATGAAATGTTGTTAATGTGCATTTGTCACAGTCCTTTAGCCTCTATGGCATGCAGCATGTGTCTTAAGATCTCTGCAGTTAATAGTCCACTTTATCGATTTGGTGATGGCTAAAACGGTTAGCCCTACGGTAGCCCCAAATCTTCGGACTACGTTAGAGAATAAATCTTATTGCTTCCATGTACACGTACACGTGCGCACAGCGACGAGGACTGCATTTCATACCTCGGGTGCTGAGAAAAGTGCATGGTGCGTGCTGAGCAGTATTAGGGCCGTGTGCACTCTAGCGACCTGGTAGCTGCTCTTATCATTAATGCAACTACTATCAACACTGTCCCTCAAGAGGAATGATGGGAACCGTGAAGAAATGATCTATGCACGTAGGCTGCTACTGACAAAAACAAAACAGGAGCAAATCAGCCACAGAATGCTGTCGACTGAGGAGGCCTGCAATGTCCATTCAGTTCCCATTCTCCTGTCAAACTAACCTTTCCCTGGTTAGCAGGCAAACACCTGCTACAGCACTGTGCTGTCTGAAATTTCAGCAGGGTACAGAGCCTTCACACAGGAGAATCAAAGAGCCAAGAAGGACCCTACCTTTCCAAAGACAAAGGAGCAAAGCCTGGACCCGTGGGGAAGGCACCCCGCAGATCCCTATTTACATGTACTTTTGCAGCACAGATTTTCAAAGGTTTGGTTCAGGCTGCTCTTCCAGACGAGGAATGGCCTTGCAGGCCTGGGCTAGGAGCTCCCAGCAGCTGGAGACAAGTGCTGTGATCAGAACGGGCTGCTCGCTGAAGGAGACAGAATGTCCCTCTGCTGGGATGCAGCCCTGCCCCAGCTGTGGGCTGACCCTCCAGTCGTGAGCGGAGGACCGTGGCCCCCATGCTCTAGCAGGCCAGCGCCTTCTGGGGCAGCACCGCGCACTTCTGGCTCCCCAAGCCGTCCTGGCCTTCCCCCCACTTTCTTGAGCTGAGCACAGTCACAAGACTACTAGAACAAACTGGGCTGTCCAGAGTAGCCATTTACTACACGGATACCATGTGCTTCCCTGGAAAGAATCTTACCATCTCCTAATAAAGCCATTTCTTTTTACAGCCTCCCATCTTCCCACTGTTATTGCATTATTTCAGTGTCCTTTTTACAAATCCTCCCAATGGCATAACTAGTCTTAAAGTGGCCAAGAATTTGTCTTGCTATCAAACAAAACAGACCAGACGTGGTTGCTTCTTTAAAATACAGGACCATCAGGGCAGACCAAGTCTTACCTTCAAATGGGAGAAATGGGAGCCTTACAGAGTTGCTTTATAGATATAAAACAGGTCAAATCAAGATTCTTTTCAAGAAACCACAGGCATGAGGCTCCGGAGACTAGAGCCTTCCCACATCTAAGGCTTCACTGGGGGGCTGTGGCTGGGCCGGGCCAGGCGAGCCCTAGCGCAGCCCGACCCACCAGTGAAGTCGGTGCAATCAAAGCCCACAATTACTGCTCCGCTTCAAAGGCGGTGCAGCAAGGCCCAGCTCACAGATGTTAAGGCTTGGGCTCCCTCTGCCCAGAGTCACTGCGTGGGCCAGTGGTACAGTGGGTTTGGAGGCGGCATAAGACACCCTCCTCTGCCATCTGCCCCCACCAGCCAGCTGAAACCTGTGAAGTTCTCTTGGGTCAAATTCCAATCTTGACAAAAATATTCCACCAACCAAATGGACCCTGGAACTCAAATGGGCCGAGTCACATATGAAGAGCCCAAGTAGTCGAGGGGAAGCTGAAGACGACTTCACGAGTGGATCTGTTTCTGGGAGATAAACACTCCGAAGCATTAGGAAGGTCTAGGCCTTGATGCAAAAGTAGTGCAGGAAGGGCAGGAGGGAGATTCCTTCTCTGTAAGCTCCAATGTAAGACGCTATTGGAAGCTGCGTGCTTCACCAGCCCCGTCCTTGGGGTCCAGAGCCCAGCCCCCTGCCTCAGGCTGTCTCCCCGCAGGAGGGGCCAAGGAAACAAGCCCTTTGGGAAGGCTGAGGTGGAGGAGAGCAGAGTCCGCTCAAGCTGTCGGGGCCAAGCTGGGGGCAGCAGAGCTGGCTTGCAGGAACAGGGGAAGACCCCCTGCTCCCCTCCCTGTATCAGGTAATATCATTTCCTTGTTCAGAAATGCTGAGGACCCCAAAAAGGTGGGCTGGAATTATGGATCCTTCTTTCCTCCCTCTCCCAAATGTTACTAGTAACGAGCAAGAACTTTAAAATGTTTCTAGTTATTACATGAAATTTGAGGAGAGAATATCAGAGATAAGTTTTGCAAGAGGTGAACCGAGGCAGATTTTAATTGCCAAAACTGCCTTCGAGCAGCACGCCACACACCTCCTGCCAGCTGCCTGGCCCAGGGGCAAACTGACAGAGGCCTGGTACTGCAGGGTGTGACCTCTGCTGTTGCACAAGGTCGTGTCTACGAAGGAGAGGTGCAGATGGCTAGAGCGGGGGGTGCCAGCACGGCCTAGCTTGACTGGCCCTGGCATAGCAGAGAACACGGAGGCCTGTGGTCGTTACATGATCGGCCCGAGGCGGCCCCTAGAGCATATCCATGCCCCCTGCCTCCACGGGGGTCACAGCCTCATGACTTTCCCTGTGACCTGGAGGTGACCTTGTCTGCAAGCCGGTGAGGGAGAAGGAAGAAAAACAACGGCTGCTGAGCACGGCCGCGCCAGGCACTGGGGCACGCACCCTGTGCGCACAGTGTCCCATCACCACAACAGCTCCCTGAATTCCTGCCTGTTTACACATAAGGAACTTGGGGGCGGTGTGAGGTTAAACAACGGGCCTAACGTCACCCAACCTGTGGGTGGCAGGATTCGCTTTTGAGCACTAACCATATGTCTTCTGCACCATATCCTGGAGCTAAACTGTCATTCACTTTCTTCTCTCCTGCCTACCTTCCAACCATCCCTCCATCCCCAGTCCACAGCACTGCAGAGGTGGTCTACACCACGACCCACTGCCCACCCTAAGATGCTCTGCTAGAAGGCAGGATACTAAAGAGAACAAAAGGCATAAGAAGTTAACTCTGAAATTTAAATCTCCTCTAAGATGGAAAGTATAACCCACAAAAGCCAACTGCTCGTAAGTGAGCATGCCCGGGTTTTGGAAAGGGGAACGATCATGCATGGCGGGGAAGGCTGGCACCGAGCCCCCTTTCTGTAGTTGAGGTCAGCCCGAGGAGACCAGTCAGTCTGCTGGCTGGAAGCTCTGAAGCAGGCCGGTTCCCGGAACCTGGAGGAAGGGGTTGGAGGAAGGGATCGGTGCAAGGGATGGGTCTTTGGCCCCGTGCTTGGATCCGGGTTCTACAGACGGAGGCATGAATCCATGCGGTTGCCTCCCCTGGGTTCTTCAAAGGGAGTTCTCCGTGAAAGCAGACTTTGCAATTTTGAGGTGACTCTGAGGCAGGCCCGGAACCGTTACTGACTTGCTCTAGGGGGATTTCTGGTCTCTAGCTGCTGTGACCGGTTTCCCTTTGTGCCTCCTCTGTGGGCACATAGATCACATCAGTGAGCTACGCCTCCCAGGGCAGGTCCACCAGAGCCTTGCTACTTCTGGAAACAATACAGAAATATTCTCGAAGAAAGGGTGGAGTAAGAGAGCCTCAAAACTTCATCTTAGTTCTATAAATTGAAGTGCTTGAGGAAGACAATAACTATGTAGACCCACCTTATCCATCCATCTCCAAATTCTTTATCTAATTCACATTTCTCTGTGCGTTTTCCCACACCAAAGATGCTAACTTCACCTTCTAGACCTGAAGCCCCCGTTAAACACCTGTGTGCGTGTGTCTAGGTGTCTCCGCACAGGGGGCGTGGGGAGGCACAGTGTGTTGTGGACTCAGAGCAGAGCTCCGAGGACAGCCCTGGGCTGGTCTGAACACGGGCTCCAGCATACTACCAGGTCCTCTTGGGCAAATTACTTGAATCTACCAAACCCCAGTTTCCTTATCTGCAAAACGGAAATAATAAGTTCCCACCTTTCATAAAGTGTGTTGAGGGGAAAAAAGGAGATCATGTGCGTGGTGAGTGGGCAAGTATCTGGCATTTGAAGGGCATCATGAAATGAAGGTTACTGCAGCAGATGGAGACTGGGAGGTACAGACAGACAGACTGACCCAGGCTCGAACCCGACTCTGCTGCATAGCAGCCACGTAGCCCTGGACAAGTTCCCAATGTTTTCTCATCTGTCCTACAGGCCAGAGGTCTCCCCTGCCCAGGGCTGCCCCAAGAGCGGCACGAGGTACCCCAAGCAGAGGCATCTCTTGGAGCACGCCGGACACAGCATGTGGTCCAGAAATGTCCATTCTATCTCTGCTGCTCCAACCTCAACGTGTTTGAGGTAGTCAGTAAGATTCATGCTATTTATAGAACTTCTGGTAGAAAGTTAAGACCAGTAGAGAATTCTGCAAAATCCCTCTTATGAAATATAAAATATCTCTTATGAAACAGTATCTCCAGCAACCCAATAATTGAGAAAAGTAATCCCAAAAGGGCAGCAAAAGTTTGTTATATTCTCGAAGAACATACCTAAAATTTTAGAAAGTTTCAGGTTAGTATGAATTAAAACGTAAGCACAAAGGTGTGCAGCACTGTCCCACTGAAATGCTCTCATTTTCCACTCATTCTGCCAAAAAGAACAAAGCTTACGGATGGTTTTAAGCAGGATCACCTCACTCATCTGGATCTCAGTTAGCTGGCAGCCTCAGTTCTAAAGAAGACAGCTGTCTCAAGCTATCACAGTGCTATCAAGAAATTCATGCACCAAACCAGCACATTTTACCCTTCCTTACAAGAGCACCCTCCATATACCAACTCAGAGCCCATTTACTTTTAACTCACAAATTGTTCAAATAAGCTTCCTGAATCTACACAACAAACCAGAGAAACATTACTTTAGGGGAGGGTCAGAGTCCCTGACAACTAAGGAAGACACAAAAATTATAAAGAGCAGATTTCTTA